AAAAAAAAAAAAAAAAAAGTGATTCTTCAACAAATGAAGTAAAATTCTTAACTAAAGAAAACCATCCTCTTTCATAAAACAAGTTTTCTAAAAAATGATAATGGTTCATCTATTATCCAACACTAAATTTTGTGATCCAACACTAAATTTTCTGTTTATGCACTATGTTTAAGGGCACAAATCCTGAAGTCATATTATCTGGGTTTAACTTCTGGAATATGTTGGACAACAATGTAAATATACTTAAAACTACTGAACTGTATATTTAGAAATGGTTAAGACAGTATATTTTATCTTAAGCTTTTTTTTACTAGAATGAAAAAAAAATGATCTGGGTTTGAATACCACTATCTTCAGTTATTGGTTGTTTCCCAGATGGAACAGGAAACTACTCAGCTTCAGTCTCCTATCCACAGAATGAAGAGACTGGAGTAGCTCTCTCTCATGATGATCACAGGCCAAGCATGGTGGCTCAAACCTGTAATCCCAGCACTCTGGGAGGCTGAGGCAGGCAGATCACAAGGTCAGGAGTTCCAGACCAGTCTGGCCAACATGGTGAAACCCCATCTCTACTAAAAATACAAAAATTAGCTGGGCGTGGTGGTGGGCACCTGTAGTCCCAGCTACTCAGGAGACTGAAATGGGAGAACTGCTTGAACCTGAAAGGCAGAGCTTGCAGTGAGCCAAGATCATGCCACTGCACTCCAGCCTCGGCGACAGAGCAAGACTCCATCTCAAAAAAAAAAAAACTATCACAGATAAAATGATGTAAACCATATGTGACAATTAATATTAGAGTGTCTACAAAACAAAAAAGGTTCAAAAAATTGTCCATCATCACTGGGCATGGTGGCTCACGCCTGTAATTCCAGCACTATGGGAGGCCAAGGCGGACAGATCACCTGAGGTTGGCAGTTCAAGACCAGGCTGACCAACATGGAGAAACTCCATCTCTACTAAAAATACAAAATTAGCTGGGCGTGGTGGCACATGAATAGTAGCGTAATCCCAGCTACTCAGAAAGCTGAGGCAGGAGAATTGCTTGAACCCAGGAGGCAGAGGTTGCGGTGAGCCGAGGTCATGCCATTGCACTCCAGCCTGAAGAACAAGAGCAAAACTCTGTCTCCAAAAAAAAAAAAAAAAATTATCCATCGTCATCATCTCTTCCCCCTCTCTTCCTTTTCTTCCTTCTCCCACATTTGCCTTTCAGTCCAATATACACATACTGAAGCAATGAATTCAGGAATAAAAAACAAAACTGGGTTGAATTCTGACACTTCCTAGCCACAAACACATGAACTAGGTTTTTAACTTTTTTAAATCTCAGAAGGTGGTTTATTTTTGACCTGTAAAATGGAGACAACAGTGCCTACCTTAAATAAATGCATGCAAAATGCTTATGAGCACAAAGAATGGCATAAAAGGACCATTCAACTTAAACTGCTGGCATCAGTAGACAGATATATTGACCATAAAACATAATGAGTTATTTCATCCTCCTCTTGAACCCACTCCTCCCAAGAGAGGTGAGAGGAATGAGTCCAAAATTATCTTCACAACTAGCAAAGAAATTACAGTGAAGCCAATGGCTAAGAGATAATAAAAACCAGTAGCACAGAACTTTTAAAAAATTAAAACTAAATAATGAAATCAAATAAAGCAATGCATCTTCTATATCCTTTAAACTTAATTATAAATGTAGTACACGTGAGTTTAGCAAAAAAAGAAGAAATCAAGAATAGGGCAGTATGAGAACTTTTGAATCATTTCTTTCATTTTGAAAATTTCCACTGGATTACTAATAGAATTGAAGTGGTCTGAGTTGCCATAGCACAAGCTTGGCTTTGCAGAACTGTGGGTTCCACTCCTTTTTCAGCACCAAAGGACGTAAGTTGGTTTCTTGTTTGTTTTTTGAGACGGAGTCTCTCTCTGTCACCAGGCTGAAGTGCAGTGGCACGATCTCGGCTCACTGCCACCTCGCTTCTTGAGTTCAAGCGATTCTCCTCCCCAGCCTCCTGAGTAGCTGGGATTACAGGCAGGTGCCACCATGCTCAGCTAATTTTTGTATTTTTAGTAGAGATGGGGTTTCACCACGTTGGCCAAGATGGTCTCCTGACCTCGTGATCTGCCCGCCTCAGCCTTCCAAGTGCTGAGATTACAGGCATGAACCACCGTGCCTGGCCAAGTTAGTTTTTATCTCTGTCTCTGGTGCTTAAATCAGGAAAAAGTCAAGCTTTTAAGTCAGTTCAGGTAAAGTATTTTGTCACTTCTGATAACTTAAAACAGTAACTATTGCTGTTCTGGTGAAGCACTCCCGACAAAAGCTCAACTATTTACATAGTTGAAATTCTACTGGGAGAGTTATTAAACAAAGTCATCTTTTCTCTGTCCCACACACAAATTTTATAAAGCAACATAATGTTCACTTTCACTGGCAAAAGAGCTGAGTAATGATATTCTGAATCTTTATAATTGAGATAGAACATGATTCACAGGATTTAATTGGGAAAGTTAAAAACACTTCCCAAGGACAAACAGTTATCAAGTCCAGCTCATATCATCTTCTATATAAGAACTATGAATGTTTATCTTAATTATGCCTAAGTATCTGTAATTGTATAATCTCAGTATTGTGGGAAAAAACTTACATTAAGATAATGTATTAAAATCGAAGTATATAATTTCTCTTCCCCAGTACTTAATGAAGAAGAAAATAAGGGGGCCGTAGGTAGAGGATAAAGCAGCCTACCTGTCCCTCCGCTCCCACTCCACATACACAAAGAACAACCTTGAAGAACTGAAATTAGGTCAGATACAGATACTATGGGTGGCCAAAGTGGGAGGATCGCTTGAGTCCAGGAGTTCAAGACCAGCCTGGGCAACAGAGAAAGGCCCATCTCTACAAAAAAATTAAAACCTAACCAGGTGGCCAGGCAGAGTGGCTCACACCTGTAGTCCCAGCAATTTGGGAGGCCGAGGCATGTGGATCGCTTGAGATGAGGAGTTCGAGACCAGGCTGGCCAACATGGTGAAACTCCATCTTTACTAAAAATACCATAAATAGGCCGGGCGCGGTGGCTCAAGCCTGTAATCCCAGCACTGTGGGAGGCCGAGGCGGGTGGATCACGAGGTCAAGAGAT